TACATGTTGCAGGCTTGTACCAGCTCCTAAATCTGACTCATAAGATTCTTCATTCAAAAACACCGTCATATTTAGTAAACAAATTCATACGTAGAGGGAATATGCATCGTATTAATATAAGATATAGAGAGACTTTTTCAATTCCACGCCACAGCACGTCTCTATTTCAGAATACATACATTTACAATGCGATCAAATCATATAATTCTTTAGACCGCAGTTTAAAAGAAACCAATCCATTATCCAAATTCAAGAAAAAAGTGAAAGAAGTTCTTCTTGATCAGCAGCGAAATCGGTTGTAACCCATAAGTGTCCTCATACTTTCCTTATGTATTTACTTTGATTATTCGTTATTGCATACAGGTGCCTATTAATTTTCAATAAACTCTTTTTTTTACATCTCGTATTGTTAAGGGGGTTAGATGGTAGAATAGATATATAAATAATCTAAATCTAGCCTCCTGTAATAATATTACAAATAAAATACGTTAATTATTATTATTATTATTATTATTATTATTTCAATTAGGATGCTCCTGCAGAATATTTAGGTGCTCGTCAGCACTGGTCAACACCTTTGTATTACTGCGTGGCTTTTGTCAATCGTGTGCGTACATTTTTTTGGCACTAAGTGAACATTTTTCACGTAGGATTGTTTCTAAATCCTGCTTCTTCTGTCAATCCTTCTCTTAACGATGATGACCAAAGTGACAAGTAAAATGCCGTCATATGAAGTGTACGACTCAAGGCCTAAACTTCACGATAACACTGCTTTCACTTAGCGTATACTTTTCCGGGAATGCTATCGACCACACAGTCATAACTTTTGAGAACTTTACACTCAGGGACATATGCAACATTTCTCGCGTGTATATAGGTCAATGGCAGGGGCTCTCACAGTCGAAAAGTTTCCTGTGACTTTTAGCTGTTCATGTAGATTTCAACAAGGATGAGGTGAGTTAAACTCAGAAAATATACCAGTGTTTATTAGGTATGGCTTTGAATTGGAAAGGTTACGGTGTATCGTGTGTTGATAATAATGCTCATGGTATCGAGCACAACAGTGGTCATTAGGGTTGCTGTTTGAAATACAAAGCGGAATGTAGGACAAAGTTTGACATATTTCAAAAATAATAATAATAATATTCGTTATTTAGAAAGAAACTAACTGATTGTAGAAGTTCTACGTCCGCTACCCTTACAATTAGCCAATCAGTTAGCGATTGGTAACACAATCCAGAACTGAAATTAAAAAAAAACAGACCAGAGCAAAATCAGAAAATAAGTAAGTCAAGAGTTACAATACGTAATATATGGGAAAATCTATTTACGGGATGTTATATATGATATTTGAGGGCACATTGCTAAAATATTGGCCATACAGGGTGTCCCAATTTCGACCTACATATCAAACTTGTGATTTTTTTTAAAGGAATGCCTCAAATTTTATTGCATATTTGAATAAACCAATTCAAAAGCAAAATATTGATATAACATACTATGGGGTTTTGGTAATTAGCTACTGAGATGTAAGGTGCTTTGTCCAGAAAAACTGTCCACCTCCGCAACCCCTCGACCCGCCATTTTGAAATTTGGAGTGCTGAATTTTGTATCAAAAAAAAACTTATGCACCTCAGCTTTTACCTTATTTGTTACTTTTTCGAATTTTCATTTTTCATTTTCAAAAACGAGAATTGTACTTGCTCTCCAAAATTTCAAATGAATCACCCTGTATAAGCTCTTTTTTTTATACTAAACACATAAGGATTTTTATGCCTTTTATGGAACGGTTTAATTCCCTAAAATATCGCATCCTTGGAAACAAACAAATTGTTGATTAGTTACAAACTGTCAAAATTAGCTTTGTGAGCATTATAATAAAAACGTGTCTATAAAAGAATTTTTCTATGAATATGGTGTTCATTTTGGGCGAAGCCCAAAGAAACAGTTTCCTAGCATCTCGCATTTTTAAGCAACGACAGGTTGGAAACATTTTCAACACTACGAGAACATTTTGAATCAAGTGGAGCAGTGGAATATAGTAAAAAATGGAGAAATCATCCAAGTGTCACCAGTGAGGCGAATCAGTTGGAGGTAATATTGAAGTTTCAGGAAAATCCCCATCTGAGTGCAGGGCAAATTGGAGCAGAAACTTACATATGTTGGGACACCTGGAGTAACGATACTAGATCTCCAGATATGACACCGAATGAAATTCTTTCTATGGGGCTACGTTAAGCAAGAGGTTTATAGATATCCACCAGCTACTCCGGAAAATATGAAGGAAAGGATTAAGGATGCTTTTCTGAGCATAAGGGAACACATGCTGAGGGACGTGCAACGGTCATTTATACAAAGACTACGACTGTGTATTCAACATGGAGATGGAGATGGAGATATTTTTGAGCTGTTTTTGTAGATTAGGCCTTGAGTAGTGATAGTTTGTTTATGTTGTTGTTATAACTGTTTTTATCTATTACGCTTGAAGCTGTTCTGATTGTTATCAGTTTTTACATGATATCTGTACTCTTTGGGGCAATATGGAACTAGCCTACTGTTCGTCTTTTGTTTCGATGGATGATGTGATTTTTTTCCTTAATTCTGGTGTTCTATCAAAAGCTTATTAACTCAAAATCTAGTGAGTTTATCTGAATCAAACCTTATACAAAAAAAGCCTATAAAAAATTGAATCCAAACTTGCACAAACATACAGGGTGATGCATTTGAAATTTTTGAGAAAAAGTACAATTCGCGTTTTTGACCACCCTGTATGAGCAAAAACGAAAATTCGAAAAAGTAACAAATAAGATAAAAGCTGAGACGTGTAAGTTTTTTTAAACAAAATTCAGCACTCCAACTTTCAAAATGGCGGATCCAGGGGTTGCGGAGGTGGACGGTTTTCCTGGACAAAGCACCTTCCATCTTAGTAGCTAATTATCAAAATTCCATAGTATGTTATATCAATTTTCTGCTTTTAAATTGGTTTATCTAAATATGCAATAAAATTTGAGACTTTCCATTCATAAAATCACAACTTTGCTATGTAGGTGAAAATTGGGACATCCTGTATAATTGCCAATATTTTAGAAATGTGCCCTCAAATGTCATGAAAAATATGTCAAAAAATGCATTTGTTTATGAGTAATATCCGTCCACACATGGACGGGCCACCCTGTATATAGAACTTGTGAAATTAGGAGGAGAGTGAATATAAAATAGTTTAATTTTATTGGGGAGTGTTGACAAAGAATATCTTTTATACACTTCAGGTATTGAATTATACCTGGTAGTGAGGTTATACCAGAAACTTTGTCTAAACAATGTTTTCCAGTGGAATTCTTATAATTCTTGTGTCTTAATTGTTGTGTGCACATCCTTACTGAAAATAATTTATTCTCTCCGGTATAAGGGCGTTGTAGTGTGCAACAACTTATGTATGAAGACTATGCATACATCGTAGGTGGCCAAGGCCTTATGCGGAGCACAGACGGGCATGGTATAAACGGGTACAGAACAGTATTTATGCGCAGAATTATGGTGCTCTGTGGCTATCCAAGCATACGGTGTAAATATGGTATAAGTCGACCGAAGAATTTATGGTTACTGCCATAACTTTCCTAAAAAGTCGCTAGAGACACACTGTTCTCAGTTATAACTTTATCCAAGCTAGATAAGTTTCTAGAAAATCGGGATGGTGAATGTCAGTAATGGAACATCTTCTCAAATGCCGCAGTGCTCCGCCCTAGGGCTGTTGCTTTGGAACATGGTCTATGGTGGGGTTCTGTAGTTACAAATGCTGCAGGGGATTCGCTTGATAGGGTATGCACACGACCTTGCAATGATAGTGCAAGGTGAAAGATATACTGGAAGGACCCTTGGCATACCGAATGACGAGACCTACCATATGGATGAAAGAATAGGCCCCAGCAGTGAGAGGCGCCTGATTTTGGCAGTGGTGGAAAACTTGATTATGCAGTACATATAACAAGGCCTTGAGGAAAAAGAAATATAGATAGCTGCACGTGGTATGTACTTACAGAACCGATGCACTTCTGGTGGTAGCTGATATCCCGCCCATTGACTTGTTGGCTGTGAGAGATGTGCGATCTATGAAAAGGGCGTCGAAGCTGCAAGCGACGAAAGAGTAGCGCTTCATGTCGGATGGCTGGAGAGATGGAATGCATGTGCCAGAAGGCTGGTCCGAGGTATTAAAACTTGGATTAACAAGGGAGTGGTGAGGATAGATTACGGTACCGCGCAGTTCCTCATAGGACATGGTTGAGGCCAATGTGGTAGGTGGGTTGACTACCAGACACAGATGGAAGTGATGCTCTGCGAGAGACTCACTGCTGACAATTTTGCCCTGCGCATACGCAAGGGAAGACAGGTTGGTGTTCAACCAATAGTGAGATGAGTGATGCTCAGTAAGGCAACGAAGAACAAAAATTGACCAAGGAACCAACAGTAGATTTCTATTTTGATCGGTTGTATATATACATATGTATAAAATGTATGTGCACTATAGAGAGCAGATGACTAATACCTTTGGTATGAAAACCTAGCGCAGTGCTACGCACTATGAAGAAATGCTGCAAGCATTACCGTGGTTGTATGTGTGTCAAACGATAGGGGTGTTTTTATGCAGAAAGGGCCGGCAGGGCAATACTGTCGAATTCTTCTACCTGAGACTGGCTATAAAGGCTTAACCCTGTCTCTTCTCAATGATGTCGCTACATTGCTAGGCCTGCGAGCCGGGGCACTAATTTTTTTCTCATTATGATTCTGTCTGCCCATTTCTCGCTCCAATAGTCTTAATAGTTGTGAAGTGGTCTGACTTATGTTTCACTCGGCCCTGATAGCTTTGGGCAGTTAAGGATAAGATGAATAACATACCTCTGTAGTTGCCACGGTCACTGGGTAGTAAGGATCCGCCTTTCATACTGTTTCAGTATAAAATAGTACTTAGTGAGTTGCTAACGATATTTTTTTGTTACAGGTGACCGGGATTGTGGGCAGAGCAGATGTCCTTGCGTGTGTATTCTTCCTTGTGTCCTTCCTGGCCTATCATGGGTAAGAACATTAGCTCACGATAAAATACAAAACAAAGTCGCATTAAAGCTACTATAAAGAGAATATTGGCAAGAGACTCAGTGGAAACCTGTTGAGGAATAGCTTTATGCTATTTTTTTTTTAATTGCTTCGCTGTAGAACTCGACACGTAGAATAAATGTGTCCATTGGGCCAAAGTTTTGCTACAACTTGTTTTCGAGGTACATGGCCTAAAAGTTAGTTTACTATTACAGTATATTGTAGGTCCAGCACACAATATGTAATAGTTACTAAAGTATATTCAGATAAGAGATAGACCGGATGTAAACAAAAGGTTCGGGTGACTTTCACGCTAACGCCGCCGTCTCGACGTAAAACAGGAGCCCTCATTGGTCAATTCGCAATTAAATGCCTATGCCGAGCGGCAGAGCAGTCGTATCAAGGCAGAGTCACATTCAGGTTCAGACGTGTTACGTATGTCGTGTGCATCATTGCAATTTGATATTTCTTTGGACGTTTTCGTTTGTTATCTTATTAAGTTGTTGAGTTTGTCGTTGTTATTGTTATACCTTGTTATTGTTATCAACTGCTTGCGCAAAATGCCCAGTAGTACAGATACTGCCGATGAAGTTGTAAACTCCTGTAGTCCACCTAGGAAACGCTCTAAAAAAAGACACCTGAGTGCAGAAATGAAAGATGTCATTTTGAATATATATAAGATCGAGCGCGAGGAGAACGAGGCATCAACCATCAAAGAAATTGTTGTGAAGGTTTCTCACAAAGTGTCGCGCATCAGTGTTTAATGTGTTAAGACAATACAAAAAAATCACACCTTTTCTGAGCCAATGACCAGTAAACATCGCAAAAGTATTGTTAAATCATTGGACGAAGCTGATAAGCATGCGATTAGGAGGAAAGTGCATGAATTCTTCTTTAGGAATGAAATACCTACTATAGATAAAGTACTGCAGGAGGTAAATGGAGATACAACGTTGCCAAATTTCAAACGATCAACTTTCCATGCGTTACTGAAGCATTTAAATTTCAAATGGAAAGAACGGGGTCGTAATAGTTTACTACTGGATAGAGAAGAAATTGTGCTATGGAGGAGGGATTATTTAACAAAAATTGGGAAATATAGAAATCAAAACAGGAAGATTTATTACTTTGATGAAACGTGGGTAAACGCAGGACACACTACAAGGAAAGTATGGGTTGATGATTCTGTAACTTCATCCAGGAGGGCCTTTCTAGATGGACTGTCCACCGGATTAAAAAATCCAGCAGGTAAATACGAGTAATAGACAACAATCGGATGTTTTTCAAACCTTGGGAACAAGGTTCTAAACATTAATTCCAGGGGGCAGATAAAACATATTACAAGTAACAAAACTTTTATAACTTTCGATAAAATGCGTGGATGTTTTATTGTCATTTTCATTTGTTAGAACTTTTTTAAGCCATGTTTTTATGTGTTTTCGATATTTCAATAATTTTTTAATATAATCTTAAAATATGTCGAATATTATAAACTTAAAAAAAGTTACTAAGTTTTATATTGTGTACCGTTCCTAATATTTCTAATCATTTTAATTCATACTTTAAGCTTTATAAAGTTATAATTTGTTAATATTAATATTTGCGCATATTTCAGGTTCCTGATCATTCATTTTTTAAAGGTTTATAACTTTAAATTAAATTGTGAAGCGCTGAGTAATCATACGACGTTCAATATTCTTTCTTTCAATATGACTAAATAATCCCAATTATAGCAATCTGATACTCATGTCTCAATGTTTTTTCGCTGAATGTGATGAAAACATTTGAAAAAGTTTCGCTTATTGAAATAAATCTACACCAGTTAGTACTTCGATTTCCAGGTAAAGGGAAAAGGCTCATTATCTGCCATATTGGCAGTGAGGATGGATTTGTTGTTGACGGTCTGTGGTGCTTTGAGTCTAAGAAAACTTGAGATTACCACGAGGAAATGAATGGCGAATCGTTTGAACAGTGGTTTTCAAAAATTTGACCGAACTTAGAGGAAAACGCAGTAATTGTGTTGGATAATGCGCCTTATCATTCTCGAAGAATGGAGAAGGTCCCAACAACGGCTTCAAGGAAAGTTGATGTTCAAAATTGGCTCCGCTCGAAAAATATCAACTTTGAAGAAGCAATGCTGAAAGTACAAGTATTAAGAATTGTCAAGGATCACAAGGCGGAATATCAAAAATACGCCATTGACGAAATGGCAGCAAGTCAAAATAAAACTGGGCTCCGTTTACCTCCATACCATTGCGAGCTCAATCCCATTGAGCTCATATGGGCAGAGGTTAAAAATTATATAGCTAAGCACAATACAACTTTTAAATTTTGTGACCTCAAAGGACTTTTCAAAGAAGCACTAGAATTAATAACAGCGGAAAAATGGGAAAACTGTATTAAGCACGTGAAAGACAAAGTTGAAAAGAGAATGTGGGAACTGGACAATATTTTAGAGGAACAAGTCGAGCCATTCATTATTGACGTTGGTGCTTCAGGCAGTAGCGACGATGAAAGCTCATCAAGCTCATCTTTCCAATAAAAGATGTCGTTCATCAAATTCGGTATGTTATAAGTAATTATAAAGCTACTGTATCTTTTAATTAATTATTGACATTTTTGAACCCATTTTGGCAAAACCTATTCAAGAATCTACTTTCTGACAATGTTCAACCATGCACATTTTTTTACGTTTTGAACGTTTTAATTTGGTTACATATTTACCTAGAAATCAAAAAATATACTAATCAATATTCTAAAAGCAATTTTAAGAGATATACGATTATTTTTAATTTAGGCTAATTTAAACGCCATTTTGAGATTATATTCGACTGTATTTCACCAAACATCAGGCGGCATCCGAAGCTGGAAATCGAAGCGAAAATTTTGAAACCCTTATGTATATTTACATCATTATATATTTCTTACCCCACCCCCACATGATCCTATATCCATCACCAATCGTATACACATCGAATTGTGCTAATTTACTACAAAGTTACGCAAAGCAGCATCTACTATCTAAAATATGTACTGCGTGACACTCAATACGTCCCTATAATCATCTCTATTGGCAGGTTCACCAATATCACATGTACAGAGTGGTCGAAACCTGAATAGATTGAGTATTGATTTGTGATACAGACTTTTTCAAACATTGTTCTGGATTACCCTGCACTATTCCTTTGATAATATATTTAAAAAGGGTTCAGGGTTAAACAGGGTATTCTACTACTGGGCTAGATATCAAGATTACTTTGTGTAGATATCGAAACGTACGGGGGTTGATTCAAACATAGGGTTTCCACATTTTTTCAGGCACTAGTAATTATTTGTTTGAAAAAACAAATCCATCACTGGAATCGCTGATACTTAAGATACTTTTTTTACATAGTCGCAATTTTTTCGCTGTAGAACTTGACACGTCGAATAAATGTCTCCATTGGGCCAAAGTTTTCCTACAACACTTGTATTCGAGGTACAAGGCCTAAAAGTTACTTTACTATTATAGTCTATTGTTGGTGCAGCACGCAATATGTAATAGTTACTACATATTTATTCAAGTTCCTATAATCATGTCTACTGGCAGGTTCACCAATATCACATGTACAGAGTGGCCGAAACCTGAATAGATTGAGTATTGCTTTGTGATACAGAGTTTTTCAAACACCATTCTGGATTATCCTGCACTAACCCTCCGATAATATATTTCAAAAGTGTTCAGGGTATACAGGGTGTTCCACTACTATGCTAGATATCAAGATTGCTTTGTATAGATATCGAAACGTACGGGGGTTGTTTCCACATTTTTTCAGGTACTAGAAACTACTTGTTTGAAAAAACAAATCCACCACTGGAAAAGTTGATTCTTGTAAATTTTTTTGCATAGTCTTAATTTTTTCTAGGCGTTCTTTAAGCCTCAAGGAAGTCTGCCCCAGCTCGTTTAGAAACTTGCTAACTGCCCCTTGTAGCTCATCGTTCGTCTCGAACCGTTGACCGCCTAGGTGCTTCATCAATTTCAGAAACGCTATGTCGGGATTGTAAGGGGAATGGGCAATAACTCCTCAGCCAAATCGCTCGCTTATGTTTTTCATTTGTTGTGAGACATATGGAGGTGCACTCTTACGCTTTGTAGGGTTTCCCCTTCGATGTCTCAGCTGTTTTAGGAGCCTCAGGAATTTCAACGCCCTGTTCTAGGATCGTGATTCCTTGATCTTCGAGCAAGATTTGTCATAAACTTCTCGGAGATCGACGGCCTTCACTCAACTGGCGATGAATTTCTATGGGTAGTAACCTTTTTGCGTGCAAAAATCGGATGACCGCATGAATGGCGGAGCCGGCGATGACAGGCTCCACTGCGCGTGACTGTCGAGTGGGTATTGACGTCGCAAATTGGCGCCTCTTGTTGGGACTGGTGATAGGCGAGCGCCGAGAAACACGAGGGTTTTACCAGATTTGAGAACCCTTCTATATGGATAGACTTAAATATGTTTGCGATGTATCGGGTTTTAGCTAAAGAAACTCTTAAAAGTATGTCTACCCGTATCACAATCGTTTTGACCGATACAGTGAGTACGTTGTCAAGTTGTCAAGTCATTAATGGAAAACCATTTAGGGGCGACGAAGTTGAAATAAAAGTGATTTGCATACTATGAGTTACCACATAATGGAAAACCTCGCAGTGGACCAAAACAAAAGTATATGTCCCTAATACGGCTTTGTGGAGGTAATACCTCGGAAATGGGCATTCAAATACGGTTTGGGACTCCAACTCCCACAGCACACAAAAACTAAATTCCAATTTTTGCAGCAATTCCAGCGGAAAATGCCGGATATGGGTCAGCGTGCTTCTGGGCGGTCTCAGCATGCTATCGAAAGAAACCGGCGTTACCGTTTTCCTTCTCAACCTGCTTTACGATTTCTACCTGCATTGGCCTGATATCAGATGGTAAGTTGAACTTTGTATAATCATCGGGGTGAGGTCAATAAACTATATGTATATAGGTTAGTAAAACTGGACGTTTAGTAGAGGGAAAGATACAGCAGGTACCTCACGGAGAATGACTTCCTTCTATTTATTTTAAAAATCTGTGATTTCCTAGATCTCATCGCGTAGAATCTAAGTGTTTATGGTCCAAAAGCTTTTTTACGAATAGCTTTGTATCGACATACAAAAATTATCAATTTTGGATTAAATCCGGAAAAATTGAAAGTAACTATACAGGGTGTCCGCAAAGTTTGGGTTTTCCTTTTCAGAAATAACTACCCTTGAAATAACAAAGGTAATGTGTAGTGAAACGAGGGCGACCAAGTAAAAAAAATAAAGGAAAAAGTACTCACTCTCCAGTTGACGAGAAGGGCTAAGTACGTCTCTGCCCGAAATCATACCGCTCCAACAGAAAATGCAATCAGCTGATGCGCTACCGAGCAGACGCAGAAACCACATTTACACTTAATGGCACATCTTCTAACAACGAAGGCAAAATGTTGTGTAAAAAGTCTAGGTATTGCATCCCGTCCAATCGATTTGGGAGAATAAATGGTCCAATGAGCATACCGTTCACCATGCCAGCCCAAACATTCACCGAAAATGTTTGTTGAAAATGTGCCCGACGGACAGCGTGCGGATTTTCTACTGACCAAACATGAATGTTGCGAAAGTTATTCACTCCATTACGCGTTAACGTAGATTCGTCTGTCACCAATATGCTCTTGAAAAAGGTCGGATTATTGTCATGTTGATGCAACAACCACTCACAAAACCGCACTCTTGCTGGAAAATCGTCAGGTTGAAGGGCTTGTACACGCTGGACGTGAAGCGGATACAGCCCCCCTTCACGCAGCGTTTGCCACACTTTAGTTTTTGATACTTGCACTTCTCTAGTGCTTGTTGAGGGATTCTCGTCTACACGATTACCTCTACATGCGTGACCGTAACTGTCGGTTGAAGGTTGCATCCTGACCTGACACACTGATCCCGACCCAGTCGTCGGGTTGAGCCAGTGACCTTGTACCAGTCGGTGATGTCGCGGCTACAGGACGGTATTCAGATATTTTTGATGTTGCAGAGCTCTTTATCTCGGTTCCCTTAAGACATTGGTGTATATGGTACTAAGAAAAATTGCTTATGTTTTCAAGATCTACACGTCGTGTAAAGGAAAACCCCAACTTTGCGGACACCCTGTATTCTCTCCTGAAAAATTTAGAAATATTCGGCTATATCTTCAAATGGTGAAACTATGTGGCACTGTAAAATATCTAGGCGTATCTGTTAATGTCCGAATTTTATTCCACACATGAACAATGTTATAAAAAGTTGTATTTTAGTACTTGAACAAATAATTTCTCGACCGCAAAACTAAAAAAAATTCTCTGTGAGTCATTAGTTAATACAAAAATTACATTCCGCGACATTGTCATGCGTCTTTAGATTCAGTATCTGTCAAGCGCTTGCAGAAAATTCGAAATTCATGTTGCGGGTTAATCTTTAACATTGAAGAAATATGACCTTACCTCCTCGTTCATAGAATTGGAATGGTTGTCTATTCCAAAACTATTTAAATTCCATTTACTATGTTATATTCATCAGGTTTTACTTAACTCTATTTCCCTGGTGTTGAAACATAAGCTAAAATTTCTTATACCCTCTGATACTGACTTTGATACCTCATTTGAAATTTGAAACGTAAAAATTTTAAAATTGTTTTGCACGGAAAATTTGTAGGTGTTTGTTTCTAGTAAATTGAGTTTTTGAGATGAACGAAGATCTTTTTTAACAAAAATTAAACTATTTTGAAGCTTACTGCATGAGATAACGTCAATAATGTACATTTTAGTATCAATTTTCGTATTTTAGAATATTTTTATTTTAAAACCGAGAAAAAAAACAAATGAAACACCCAATTTTCAAGTTTTATGACTTCGTTAACGTATAAAGGACGTTAATTTTATAAAATCTTAAAAATTAGTATAATTCGAAAACGGCTAATTTTCGGACAGTAGTTCCTATAGTAAAATCGACTCAGATTGGCTTGTACTATCTCACCCCACCGACTCCGTATGTATATTCTTATACTTTTATCCAAATTTGATAATTTTACTCAGTTGGTTCATTTTTATGCTGAAACCCCTGCATTTTTAGTGGTACATATTGTTTTCATTGTTAAGTGGTGGAAAAGGTTATGCTAAACTTAACCCATTAAAGCCGTCTGAGTATCCGGTGTTTGAATCTGACCGAGTACCCGGTACTCAGCATTTTTTTTAAAAATAGTGCCCGCTACATCCCTACTAATAAGTACAGCTCGAACCTGTTATGAAAGTATAAGTAGCGGCCAAGAATAAATTCAAATTCAACCGCTCCACCGCTTGCTCTGTGCTCCAAACTTGAATAAACTCTTAACAATCGTTTCAGGAGTTTAACCGAAATGAAGTGGAATCCAGAGACAATGAGGTTTACAAACAGAGCGGCTAAGATGCTTATTTCGGTAAGTGAAGTTGAACTCTTTCCTTCTCCGACTTTAATCTCTGATGCTTTGTTAGCTATTTATCTTCCTATTTCAGCCTTCGGAGTTAAATGCTATACAGTTGTTGAAGCTTTTGTTAGTCTTCGTTCATTAAATGTATTTTATTTTTGGAATTAGGTGAATGACGAAATAAGAAAATACTGTAAGCTATATACCAATGCAATAGCGACGCATTACATAGTTAAATAGGCATGTAGATATTTACAATTTGAAAGTGCAGCTAGACTAGTAGTTTTCTGAAAAAGACGAAGCAGCTGCTCTTCTCAGGCAAGGTTTCCAAGTAAAGGAAGGTCACGCTACAGAAGGGATGACGTATCGTTAGGTGATATAACTAAGTGTTTTCTATTCCCTCTGTTTTTTTTTATGGGAAAGAGAGTTCAATTAAGTATTTGTCTGATTTAGGGCCGATTTCACGAACATTAATATTATGGACCAATGGGAAAATACCTTATCGAAATGCAATTTGACAGAAGCTGTCAAAGGTCTCTGAATATTTATATTGAAATATTGAATACAATCGTGAAAATTCGACTGTATTATAAACAAGACCACTCTTTGATTCCAACATGATGCTTTTGTACAAAAAAAACAGTACAACTTTCATGTATTTTAGTTTTAGTCAAATTTCTTCTAAAAGTAGTACAAACTAATCTGATGTCCCTATTAAAGCTTACTTTGAATCAATAAATCTTCAAAACTTCTGAACTGGAGTACATTAATTTTATATCATTATAAAGGGAATTGAAAGACCTTTAAAATAAGGTATCACTCGACCCCTATTACCAGTATCATCAAAATTAACGATAATTTGGATATTTTTCATAATTCCACCAAAGAGACGTTCAATTTTGCTGGTCGGTGCCCAGATTACCGAAGACTTGATTTGTCTCAAATAGAGCTGGTCAACCACAACAGCTGTAGGGAAAAACATAGGTTATTTGTTTGGAGCTAAGAAGCTAGAACGTCCTCACTGTGTACATAGCCCAGTTAAGGCCTAGCCTCGACTACTGCTCACGTGTTTGGGGTGCCAGGATTACGTTCTCCGTGTTCGATCCTCTTCAGACGAGGGCTGTGCGACTTATCGGTGGCTCTTTTCTATACCGCTATGTTTCTCAAAGCTCTCTGAGTCTGTCAGGCAGACCCACCTCCCATCCTAACCGGATCGAACTGCCTACATTCAGAACTGCCCGGTACGACCGCTACCCTTAAAGCTGCCTGTATCATAATGCATGATTTTTCATATCGTCCGATAAATTCCGCTATTTCATTATGAAACTTTAACGGTGCAGGTTTCGTATACATATCCGCCTTTATAATCAACATTCTACATTTCAAAAAAGGACTAATTTGAAATGCATTGGGCTAGTCGCATTTAAATAAAACAACGCTGTTAGCATAATGGAAGGAAAGCTCAACGATACATGTAATTATTCCATTTTCAACAAATGACGATAGAGGTACAGTACAATTAAATATATGGAATAGGGAATTTATCTATTTTGACATTATATGCTTCTGTGCAATGTCGATTTCACATTAGGATCTGGTAAATATATAAAATTTCGTCAATGTAAACTGTGTCGCAATTTATGCACAACGGCACTGTTATTGATGCATGCTGCACAATATGTTAACACAGACGAATCTGCCTGACTGTATTCAGGGACTTTGGACAGAGAATCAGTACACAAATCTACTATTTTGAAAGTTCTAGACTTTACTTCGTTTAGTGTCAATGTCCAGAAGTGGGTCTAGGTGTTTTGCTTAAAATGGCGGGACCAGAGAATATCAAATTTTCCCATTGCCGAGAGTCTGATAATTGTAGAAATGTAAAACACCACCAAAAGGTGGATCATAGTTAAATTTCTTATATAGGGTAATCCGAAAGTCCCAGAGTGGTTAGATGTTCAAGAAAGGACACTGGGCAAAATGCATAGTAAATTTTTCCACGCCTTCCACGAACAAAATGTGGTAGGTTTTGCAGTTATGCCAGCAATTCATCTTGTGTGATTGTTCTGGCAGACAAAAGTCAGAGGGTGTTCAACTATCCAGCTGCATCACAAAACCTTTTCAAGGACCCAGAAGCCTTTCGAAAAAAGAAAATAAATAGTTTGCTATACGGAGAAACCTTGTGTCAATATTGAATATTGTATAGGCTGTTTGGTCCTGGCGCACAACTTTGCGATGGAAAACCGTGTTACTTTTGTTTTCAAAGGCTGGTTGCATGCAGAATTAACGAGATAGATTTTGGTTTACAATTCTACCTTATTCCATACGTGTACGTTGTCGAAAAATGTCCCAACCTTCTTTCTTCTGAAAATGAATACTTTCAAAGTCGAGTTCTTTTTTAGAAAATACAAATAATCTTTACAACCCTATGGTAGGATGTATCCAAATGTACGCTATCTTTTATTCCATTTAAAATCATAGCAAACAAAGCAATATACAGGGTGTTTCAGTTTATTGTTGCATAACTTTAAGATTCGATAGAACTTTTAAAATTAATGCATAAAGTCTATATAAACATGGGTCGAAAAATGCGTGGCTTCCGAAATACAGGGTGTTTAAATTTACTTTCTAAAATAGTTATTTTTAAATATTTCGAACAATATTTGATGTATAACAGTGAAAATTAGTATACAAGGGTTTTTTGCTACGACAAAACGAACCATGGGCATATTTTTACTGTAGCCCCTAGAGGGCGCTCTCTACTATACCTGTAGTGTATAAAAATGACCGAAAAATTTTTCTTAATGCAACTTTTTGCTTTTTGAATAAAAAAACTGATTCTTCGCACTTTTCAACATAAAAAAGCTCTCTTGTGAATTCTCGTTATAGTTAGACGTTTTTGAGATATTTCGATTTTAAAGGTTCGATGCATTTTTAATTATTTATGATAAAATAACGTTAAAAAGTCTCTCGATAATTTTTAGAAGTAGGCTGTGCTTGCAAATATCTTTGAAATTGAAAGCAGAATAAGGTTAAACGTCAATTAGTTGACAGTTAGTTTTGTTGTCTGTTGAAATCTGAAACGTTTTTTGCAATTGTGAATGCACAAAATTTAGTTTCTCTTACCTGTTTTTTTTTGTAAGTTTTATAAAAATCAACATATTTGGTCGCATGAAAATCCGCATGCAGTTCGGGAAAGAAATTTTCAGTATGAATTTAGTGTGAACGTGTGGATTGGTATCTACCGTAATCGACTATTTGGACCCTACCTTTTGCCTGCAAGGTTAAATGCTGCGACCTTCTTGGAATTTTTAAAGGCTGAATTTGCAATTATGTGGGATGATGTTATGTTAGATTAAAGAAGATTGGCCTGGTTCCAGCTTGATGGTTGTCCAGCTCATTATTCGAGAATAGTTAGAAACTGGCTGGACGAAAATTATCCATAAAGATGGATCGGCCGTGGAGGACCAGTCGCCTGGCCTCCACGATCCCCTGACCTAAATCCATTAGATTTCTTTGTGTGGGGATTTCTAAAAGAAAAAGTGTACCAGACTCCCGTAACCACAAGAGATATGCTAATAGACAGAATCAGGAATGCATGTGATGAAATAAGGCCTTATTTGAATAACGCGTTCGATCATTCATAGATGTGAATTGTGTATTGAACGATTGAGTTTACATTTCAAGCAACTACTTTAGATTTTGTATGTTTGTCCTAACTATCCAATAGCATTTTAGTTGTAAATAATTAATTTAATTTGTTAAAAATAATATTGGAAAATTAAACAAATTAATATTTTGTTTTTTGTGTTTATTTGTAGTTAGGAATTATTGCTGTGTTTAAAAACACAATCTAAACGATCATCTTAATTACATGTATTGCCCAAATCGAAAATGTAAAAAAAATATTATTTTCCCATAAATAATTAAAAATGCATCGAACCTTAAAAATCGAAATATCTCAAAAACGGCTAACTATAACGAAAATTCACAAGAGAGCTTTTTCATGTTGAAAAGTGCGAAGAATCAGTTTTTTTATTCAAAAACCAAAAATTGCACTAAGAAAATTTTTCGGTCATTTTAATACACTACGGGTACAGTAGAGAGCGCCCTCTAGCAGTTACAGTAAAACTATGCCCATGGTTCGTTTTGTCGTACCAAGAAACCCTTGCATACCAATTTTCACTGTTATACATCAAATATTGTTCGAAATATAAAAAAAAACTATTTTAGAAAGTAAATTAAAACACCCTGTATTTCGGAAGCCACGCATTTTTCGACCCATGTTTATATAGACTTTATGCATTAATTTTAAAAGTACTATCGAATCCTAAAGTTATGCAACAATAAACTGAAACACCCTGTATACAGTACTCAAGATACTTCTGAAGGTAACGCAGCAAAAGAACGCGAAGGAACCAGGGTTTTGGTTTTTTCTCGCTATCCACTGATGGTCTTAAACCTAACGGAACTGAAAGTTTCGCGTTGCGTGAAAATTATTTCAATTTTGAAGGTACTTGCCAAGGTCACCGTCAAAAGACAAATTTTTACAAAATTTTTGGGGATGTCTCTGAAGATCAAGCAAGGATTCAAATAGGGGAGGGACTTCAGCCGTCCTAGATAGTCGCTGGTGACCTTGAAAGAAACATCGAACATTACCTTGATGAACAAATTAGAGTCTAAACAGTTTTTTTTATACACAACCTTATACTTTTGACATCGGCCAGGGGCGTTCGAGGTCAACGTAATTTTCACCTTGACGTAAAATTCTCTGTTCTATCCGTTCTCGGTTTCAGAAGTATGGGATCACATATAAAAAATTGGTGAATAAGTAGTTTCCCAGATATGTATACAAATATTGGTTTTACCATAAGATAATGTTAATTAGATATATGAATTGAGATTATCTTATGGTGGAGGTAACTGGAAAACCAATTGGCCCGTACACCTTAAAATCCTTTAAGGTGGTTTCAACTTGTAACAGTTGACTTTTTG